CTGGAAATCGCGCACCAAACTGCCTCTGTAGATGAATAACAAAAAAAATCACACAAACTGTTCTCATAAGTTATCAGCCACTGGTAGTGTGCATTAATATTTTTTTAAAACAAGTAGAGATGATAAATAAAAAGAATACCATGGCGAAAACTATCTGATTAACAATGTGACGGAAAGGAATGTCGAAAAATTCCAAAAGGTTCAAAGACTGAAGGATTCTGCATTAAAACAGTACGTAAGTTCGAGTCGGCCTTCCTGCCCGAAATTAGCTTGTCTTATCGAGCAATATTTTCAACTTGCTGCAAAAAGATGTAACGGACATAAGCAAACCAAACTGCTGAATACGCCAGCAGTAAAAATGCCGATCAGCCTTAAAACGGTTATCAGAAAACGTCTCAGTAAGTAATACGTAGCATATTAAAATATCCTACCGAAGTCCGACAAAATAGCTGGGTATTAACAATTTTCGAGAACTCCTACAATATTCAACGTTCACGCAGCAAGCATACAAATTGCGGAACCAACTGTTTACTGGAAGTTAATTCATGAAATGCTTGGGAAGCCGTAGGATAAATGCCCATTGAAAAACGATGAAGCACCATCCAAACAAAGTTTTTAAAATTACAGGATGTCAAACGATTTCAATGATTTTTAGCAACCCAACCGCCCACTGTTAATCAGTAGAGTTGCTGGACAAACCAGGAAAAAAGTTTGTAATTGCCTTGCTGAAAGGCGATACAGGCAAGCCGTACTTGAAACATAGAAATGCATAGATCCTGTTTTTCATCCAGCAATTATTATTGAAGATGAAAACAACGAAGCAAAAGCAAAGATGCCGATTTAAAGATCCTCACGACACTAAATCGAACCGTTTTGATGAGCAACAGCAATGTGCTAACAAGCCCACTTTCTCCAACCCTTACCTCGATGCTGTATGAAAGCGGAATAAAAAACTTAATAAGTGCAAAAGCACACCGGATAGGAATGTGCAGATCACAGGCTGAGAAAGCGCTTGAGGTCACACAAACTATAGTCCCAAATCGCTCTCTCCCCTTAAGCCCCGCTGTGGATAGACAGGGTGGGACGACGGTGACTAGGAAGCTGGAATAAGTAGGCTTGAGCCAAATAGCATAATTGACCAAGAATTCAAAGAAATGAAATTCGTCTCTTACCAATTCATGCCGTACTCATGCTACACCTTCAAAACCATACTGGACTTTTGCCAAATAATTTCGCAACTCTTCATGGAGTCACGAGGTGCAACTAAAAGCAACCCAGCGTTGTCCATATTTACAAAGAGGAACTTTACAAATTCATCGAAATTTGGCGCATAAGAGCTATGCTTCTTGCAACCAACTTTCAACTAATACCCCCTTAAGTGGACATGCGTTCCCTTAAATACACGCGCACACACATATATATATAATATACCGATGATCGAAAAGGCATAGTGATCACTGTGTTCACCATTAAATTTTCCTTTGTTGACAACGATTCCCATTTAAAGGGCCAAAGACACCAATGAAATTCTGCACTTTCAATTACTTAAGAGAGGAGGATAGCAAGCCCAATTGGCCAACCTAAATGTACGTGCGTGTACGTAATAGATAAATGGTGGGAGCGAAACGACAGGAATTATAGAAATGGGTGAAGATGCGTAGATAAGTATGAAAAGCTTGATTAATAGCTTTATTAAGGAGTCAATTCACCATAATACAGAAGTCCGAGTAAGAATCAAATGGAAGGTGTTCCTTTAAAAGCTACTTCAAAAGCAACGCTGTAACTTGCATTGAAACCCATTTAAATGCCTAGGAAAAAGATCTTGTACAAAAAAGAGGTTTCTAGCTACGCCTTTAAGTAGTAACTCAGGAGTTTCCTTTCCCTGAGGTGGCATACTGCAAATCACATACCTTAGTTCCGAAGAGAGGTAACTGAAGGAGAGCAGTTTTGAGACATTGAGTGTCGAGGAGAAGCTGTTCAGCGCCAAATGTGTTGAGTGGTTTGCACCGATAGAGAGAGGCCACAAAGCGACTGATTATCGAGTCGGCAAACTTTATACAGATTTGCGTGAAGTAAGCCCTACAATCACCAAAAACGCACCCACGAAGGGCGCACTATTGATAAAGTTTTGGCCATTATTTTTGCAAGACATGGCTATGAAATAACACAGATTCACACAATTTCATCACCATAAAAATGAATCGCACACTGAGATGCCATTAACAGCAATATTTGACACGATGGAATTGTTGTAATTCAAAGGACACAGCATTTATTCTAAAGAATAAATGCAATAGTTAAGCTAAACCCAACAACTTTCCACAAATACCAAGTTTTGCTGAGTCGACCTCTTAAAGGACGCAAACTGAGATCGACTACCAAAGTCAAAGATACAAAAAAACCCGGACAATCAAAAGATGTATGTGGTGGTAACTTGCCAGAACTAACCTATCGCGTGAGAAACACGCTAAGGAAACTCCATGGAAATATTGCAAAACAATACCAAAGCACTTAATGCGACCGAAAGGCAGTCATTATTTCAAGCTTCCGGACAAACACCTGAGTCGTGAGCTCTTCTACTAGTGCCTAGATTTTAATTAACGATGAACGCACATTCTACTTTGTCCATAAAAGAGAAGGCAGATCATCAGAGGTTCAATAATGTACATGATGTTACTGATACCCTATCGGAACAAACATTGGTAAGATTTCAGGAAAATGAACCGAGCAAATACCAAACATCTTGCATCTAGATGAAGACCGAAAGAAAGGTGAAGAAAGCATCACCGAACATCGATACAAAGTTGGAAATTTTCTGTCAACGAGGAGCAGTTAGATGCGAATTCCCTCAAATATGCTACTTTGTAGGAAGAAATACGAATGAAACCGTTAAAACACGAGTACAGTCAACAAATCCATCGTTGAGGCTTCTTTACACATGCATTTACCCCACTATTTTTAAAAACGCCGATTTCACATACTTGGTAAAAATATTGCATAGACTAGCATTAAAAAGCTCAGCTAATAAACATTTGGTACGCATTTATCAGGTCAAATCTTTTCCCTAGGTTTCATAAAAACGACTCAGAACTATGAAATAGTAAGAAAGTAAAATAATTCAAGCCCAAAATACTTTTAAACAAAGACAGAAAGTAGACACCTGACGGAGAAGAGTGTATCTCTCATGAGCGGCACTTGAGATTTGAGATGAGTGATGATGGCGGTGACGTAGGGCGACTGATCACCAACGGCAGAGAGATTAGCCCAGGGCATGCGTGTCATGGTCGTGAGCTGAGGTACCACGGAAGCCTCGAGGTCTGCTACAAGTCGATGCACACATGCTGATCGGCAGTCTGTCAGATCACTCACCTCCGGTCCAAAACTTATTTCATCAGCCAGAGAGGCCGGACGCACCTACGGAACGTATGCATACGGATAAATGGTGCTTGTTACAATTATGCAATTATGCAATTATGCTTTTGGGTATCCCTTGAGTCGGTCTTCACGGTCTGCAAGAGGTCGATTAACGAGTCTATGAGGATACTTTTATTTTACCCCACCTTTAGATGTCTTTAGCAGCGGCTCAGACCGTACAACGCGGTATGGAATGAACCAAATCTATGTTTTTAGTTCAGGCTATTGTTAATCATCAGGTAAGTCGTTTGCTTCAAAGGTATATTTATAGCTTTACTAGAATTGGTAATAAAACCGCAAAACTGAAGAAGCGGCTGCAAATAATGGCAAAATAGCAGTTAGTCCAATTATGTAAACAGCTACCCACGCATTTCGTTCTGTCTTGATCCAGTTTCTACAAAAGCGATATGAACGCTGCTCGAACTACCCATGCACTATTCGCAGCCGCCTTTAGAGGCAACCGGGATATTTTATCCGGACATCAAAAAATAATTTCTTGGTCCAAGCCGCCATAGCATAGGACAACAGCTTTTGTCAAATACGATAGTCTTAACCATTATCGCATAAATAAAACTGGATTTTAGTCATGCTATCAGCTTCCATTCGCCAATGACAAAGCATACAATAACAGTCTGCAGATGTGATAACCATGACTTCACTCGCAAACTGCATGTCCAAGTCAAAA